ATCTTGTGCCATGGCGGTGTCCAGGGCGGGCATGGCGACGCCGGCATGGGCAACGAACCCCATGGTGAAAAACATCCAGGTCGCGTTGAAGCTGGGGTACGGCCTGGCCGGGACGCTGCTGGCCCAGAGGGGTGCCGCCTCGTGCGTCTTCGGGGCGGCGAAAGAGGCGGGCGGCCTCCCTGCGGCAGGCTGTGGCGCGGCCAAGAAGGTCGCAGGCCTACCAGCGGGTGGTGGAGGAGTCGATGCGGAAGGTTCGGGACCTGGGATCCCCAGCCAGGAGGCCCTCGGAGTTGGCAAGGAAGAGGGCCAACAACAAGCAGGAGACGGAGAGCGTGCCCAGGCTCAGCCGTCGCCTCAGGAAGTACGTGGCGTTCAAGGAGCGGGTCCAGCTGGCCAAGAAGGAGAAGAAGCGCAAACAGACGGCGCTGGAGGAGGAGCAGGTCACATCGCTGGTGAAGGCCTCCATGCCGAGGGCGCTGGCGAGGAAACTGTTCGAGGCCAAGAAGCGCACCCAGCAGGGTGTGCCCACCATCGTGCACGGGCTCGCGGAGCGAAGGGTCCACAGCCGCCAGCCTTGAACGTGATCAGGCAAGACGGGAAGAAGGACCTCTGGCCGAATCCTGAGGAGCGCGGCGGCACCAAGGTGCAATGCTTCGACGTAGGTTCGGGCGCTGGCCACCTGGAGTACCCGGGCCACGAGTGCGACGGCTTCTACTAGTTCAAGAAGGACTTCGGCATCGGGCAGAGCCGTGTGGTCGAGTACGGAGTGGAGGTGGAGAACCGCTTCGAGCAGCTTGGCCAGGGCGTCGGTGACGAGTCGATGGACGAGCAGGAGCGTTACGACGACGACCAGCAGCAGGAGGAGAAGGAGCAGGAGGCCAACGAAGATAGCACGGAGCACACGCAGCAGGGCTTTGGCGCAGGTGGTTGTGCGCTGCTTCGTGCGTTGGAGAAGTACGACGCGGACGGCAACGGGTGCGTGGCGGTGGCGGGGTTGCGCATCATGTTCGAGGAGTGTGACTTCGGGGTGCAGGGGGTCCTCGGGCCCTGGAGCGCTCCCTCGGGGAGCTCAGGGACGATGACCTCGCCCCCTGCGGGGAGTTGCTCGATGACGCTCTGTGCGAGGAGGAAAAACCGATCATTTCGGCCAACATGGGTCGGTTTCCGTTTTGGAGGAGAAGACTGCGGAGCTGAATGTCGACCAGAAGGCAGGCGGCCCTGCCGAGCTGGAGGACCTGCCGCATATTCCAGCCGTTCCCACCCTCGTGAGCGAGGGGATCGGCGACGGCGAGCTCCTGAAGCTAGCAGTCGAGAAGTTCGGGCTGAACTGGGAGGAGGTCGGCTACGCCTACCAGCAGGGCCGCCTCCGAGAGGTGCACAAGGCGAGCGGCGGCGCGCCTCCCGAGGCGTGAGGCCTGCGGGGCTGCTGCGCGCCTCGCCGCGGGCGGCTGCGGCGTGGGGTGGCGGTTGGTTCGGCTGGTTGGCGTCGCCGTGGCTGGATTCGCCACTCTCGGTTTTGGTGTTTGAGCCCTGGCGTCTTCTCGTCGTCGCGCTGGGCGCCCCTCGAGATCCTGGCTGGGCATTGGCTGAGGCTCGGCTCCCTTTTGGGGTGACCGCCTCGGTGGCAGGGCCGGCTGGATCTGGCCGTATCATCGGACGCCTCAGACGCCTCCCCCCCCTCCTTCCCCCCCGCGCGCTGTGGCGCGCTGGGTGGGAAGCGCCCTGCCGCCCAGAACGACTCTGAGCCCCCCCGCAAGTCCTTCGTGATCGACGACTGCGGCGCGCTGGCCGACGAGGATATTGCCGAGGGCGGCGGCCGCTACCCTTTTGTCGGCCAAGACCCACAGGCGGCAGCGTCGGCGGCGCCCCGTGGCCTCGCTGCGGCCGCGCCCGCGGCGCCGCGCAGCTCGCCCAACTGCGACCCCATCGTCGTCGATTCTGGCGGCGCTGGCGTGGCTACCCCTCGCGCGCCGCAAGCTGCACCAGCCGAGCTGCCTGGAGGCCCCGTCCGCTGCTGCGGCCGCCGCCGCCGGCAGAGGCCCCCGCCGTGGCTGCAGCGCCTGCGGGGCTCCCTGACGACGCGCTGCCCGCGGGCCCGCCGACGCCTGTGGTTGATGGTGCCCCCTCCTCTCCTGTGTCGGTTGCCGTCGCTGCTGCCGGCGCGGCTGTTGCGGAGTCGAACTCACTGCGGCCCCTGTGCCTCTCGGCGGCGCCCCGCCCACCTTCGGCGACGTCCGCGACCTGATCATCGGCCGCTGCGACGCGCTGCAGACGAGCATCAACGCGACGGCCCAATCGGTGCGCGCCCTCCAGGAGCAGCACAACAGCCTTGCCACCCGCGCGCACGCGCTTGAGGTCGACCGCGCTCAAATCATGGAGGCCCCCATGAGTCTGATCGAGGAGGCGGCTGCAGAGGCCGCCTCCGCCCGAGCCCACGCCGCCGAGATGCGGGCGACTCAGCAGATCGCCGCCCTCGAGGCCAAGTTCGCTGCGAAGATGAGAGACGAAGCCCCCGTGCGGCCCGTGCCCCGCAGCCCCTCTGAGGACTCCTGGAGCTCCTGGGTTCCTGGCCGTCGTGGCAGCCCCCGCGCGCCCCCCTTTGGCGCTGGCTCCAGGGCTGGCCCTCATGCTGATGAGCTCGGCTCGGATTCACGCAAGGTTTGGGTCGGCGGCTTCGAGGAGACATGCCTCGAGACTGTCCTGTTCCGCGCAGCCGCCTCCATCGTCGCCCGTGCCCAGCACAGGGGCCAGGTCGTCGTCGTGGCGTGCAACTTCAACGCGACCTTCTTCCTGGAGTTCCCTGTCGAGCAGCAGGCGACGGCCTTCCTCGACAGTTTCTCTGCCCAGCCCTACGTCTGGACTCGGCTGGGGCAGCTGCCGCGCACTTTGCGGGCGCGCAAAGACACTCCCCAGAGTGTCAAGAACGCGAGCGTTGTGCTCAGCGAGCTGTGGCGGGACACGGGCCAGCTCTTCTTCGCCCGCGACGAGCGCATCTACGAGCTGTGCTCTGTCGTCGCGGACCTGGCTGGTGTCTTTACGGCGGTCGCCATCCCCTCGGGCATGGAGGTCCTTGAGATCGCTCCCGAGGCCAGCCGGCGCCTTGCCGTGGCCGCGATCGTTGCCGCGGCGACTCCCGCTTGACGGTCCCCTGAGTTGTCCCGACCGTACAGTGGCACATTCTGCGGCCACTCCGAGGCTCGTGGTGCGTGCGCGAGCCGTCCCCGGGACGGCTGCTGGGTGCGCCTCGGTGGCACTGGGCCTGCCTTGGAGCCCGCGGCGGTCGCCCCTGCTGCCCGGCCTCGATTGGCCCTGCATGTTCCTTGTCCGGTTTTGCTCTCGCAGCCAGGCCTCGCTGGCCTTCTGCCCCGCCACGTGCTGGGCATAGTCACCTCCCCTTGGCCGATGCCGTTGGCTCTCGTGCCTCTCTGCTCGCCGGCTGTGCCCCCGAGCATGTCCATCTAGGTATCCTAGATGGGGTCGGAGCAGATGGGGTCGGATATTCGAGCCGCATCACCGATGCATCGCCGACGCGGCTCGATGTGCAGCCCGCTTTGCTTCGCGTCAACGTCGCCGATGCATCGCCGAAGTCGACGATGCATCCCCAGTGCGTCGCCGATGCATCGCCGATGCATCGCCGTTGTGTCGGCGATGCGGCGCGATCCTCCGACCCGATCTACTCCGACCCCATCTAGGAGGCCTCTAGTTCAGCCTGCCGCCTCGTGCGAAAATGGTCCGCGCTCGCATCTCTGTCCTGCCTCTGCCGCTAGTCCGATCTCGCGCCCAGATCAGTTGCCTGTCATTCCAGCCGTGATAGTGCCGACCTCGCTTGACACACAGCCAGAATCTCGGTCTGAAGCCTGGGGGCGCGCCGTTTGTCCTTCTCCCCCCCCCCTCCCTGCCTGAGTCTATCATTGGTGAACGTTCAGATTTTTCCGCGCGGAGTTCGGGGCGGTGTCCTTCCAGGGCTCGTTCTTCCTCTTCGGCGTCGTCTGCTTCGGCCGCCTCCTCTTCGCCCCCGACTTCCGCTGCTGCGCCTGATGCGGAGCCACCTTCTGCCAGGCCATGCACTTCTCCCAGCTTGGCTACCACAGCTTCCGCACTGCCCACTCCAACAAAGATGCCCTTTCGCCATGCTGCCGCTGCGGCTTTCCGTATTGTGGCATGGAATGCGCGCTTCAAAGGGTTCGATTTGGGTCGTTGCTACTCGTATTCAGCGGAAGCTATCGAAATTGTCGGGGCTCGCGGCGTCTCATGGGATAGTATGCGTTCAGGGAACCCACGGGTCCCCAGAAGACTTTGGTAACCACTTTTCCTCCGTCGTTTGGCTTCGCGCTGCTGGGCGTTTCTGGATTCCTCTAATGCAGGTGGGAGCGTTATCTACTATTCTGATCGCGTTGTCAAGCTCTTCCCTCGTGTGCCCACCCATGTCATCACCCCTGGGCGCTGCCGCTACATGGACTTCAATGGGCCACTAGGACGGCTGAGAGTTATCAACCTGCACCTCGACCCTGACCTCCACGCCCCTGCCAAGAAGCGTATCAGCAGCAGTATTGCCAGACGTCTGCTGGGACCTGCCTACTGCGCGTGCTTTATTGCCGGTGATTTCACGTATCGGGGCAATGGCGAGGTGCGCTCCAATCTTTCGGGCCAGCTTACCTTCCGAGCTCTCTGCACCAGCTCTTCGCGTGCGTCATACTCGGGGCTGGACATAACCCCCAACAGTGACACGTCGATTAGTGAATTGTCCGTTTTCGGTTCTCGAGAGGGCGCCGTGGCCGTCATTTTCCAGGCTTGCGCCCGCCAGGTTTGGGCTTCAGGTCGTTTTCACTAAACCACGTTTTGCTAAAGGGGGGTCTGTCCATCCCCGACATACCACATCTCGCTGGGGTTGCACGAGGTAGGTGCACTCATCGGTGCGTTCGGGGGGCCGCCGTCAATCTGGGCAGGAATGACAGGATCTACACTGATATGTTTTCCGCCGTACTTGTCGACTTACGGCCGCCCAGTTTCCTCATTGGCGATCCTGCCTTCCCTGGGGAGCTTTCTGACCGCGTTTGAGGAGGCCGCGGCTTAAACTGACCCCCCCCCTTCGCATAATTCCGCCCAAGAAAAGCCGAAATGTAGCCGTGCCCTGTGGGCGAGCAGCTTTCCTGCGAGCGTGGCTTTTTTCATTGAGCGAGCAGCTTTTCTGCGTGCGCGAGTAGCTAGAGCTTCGGCGCGTTTGAGTGTCGGGCGCGCCGGTCTGCTCTAGCGCAGCCCGTGCGAGCTTCAACCCGATTCGACTGCGGATCTGTGCGTGCGCCATCGCTCCATGATGCGTTCTGCGAGCTTCAGGACATGGCGTGTTTTTTGTTGTCGCTGTGATGATGCGCGCGCCCCGCACGGGCGCCTTCGTCTGCCCTGGCCGATTGGGTGGGCACTGCAAGATCTTGCAAGGTTAAGGGGTCTCTCGCGCTTTTCGTCGGTCCGGGTCTCTTCGCGGTTTTCGCGCTCACGGGCGTCCAGCGGGATCGCCCGTAAGATGCAGGTGGCGCGCGCCTTTCCCCCGTTCGTTTGTTGCTATTTTGGTTGTGCGGGAAAATGACAGTCCGTTTTATTGCAATACAAGCACATAGAAATCATCAGCAAAAAACCTTCCCGCTCATCCCGCGCCCTTGGACTCCCTCCCACGGCAATCACCCCCCACAAGACCAGCCCCAATATGCACTTTGATGGCGGGGGCTTATGTGACCCCGACGTCGGGTTCACTCATTCGTTTCTTTGCCATGGCTCCTCCACCCTTCATCCCTCCTTGGTCCTCCCTCCTCCCTTCTCGTCCCTCCCTCCTCGTTCCTCCCTCATCCTCCCTCCTCCCTCCCTCCTCGCTCCTCCCTCCTCCCTCTTCCCTCCTTCGCCCCCCTCCTACCTCCTTCGCTCCCTTCCTCGTCATCCGAAGCATGGATAATCTTCAATGCCAGACAACTCGATTGAAGGCCATTCCCAGTGCTCCCATAGCATTTTGGCCTCATGTTTGCCTCGCCTGCGCCTCGGCTGTCCCGCGGCTGTCCCGCGGCTGCCCCGCGGATGTCCCGCGGCTGTCCCGCGGCTGTCCCGCGGCTGTCCCGCGGCGGGCCGCGGCTTTACTGGCCCGGGCCGCAGCTTTATTGCCCGACGGCCCGCTTTGCTTCGGCTGTCCCGCGGCTGTCCCGCGGCTGTCCCGCGGCTGTCCCGCGGCTGTCCCGTGGCTGTCCCGCGGCTGTCCCGTGGCTGTCCCGCGGCTGTCCCGGCGCAGTCTGGCGCTGTCATATTACACTTGAACATGTGTTTTCGGTCGCCAATACCAGCGGCACGCGGCACTCCGTCCGGCCCCGCGCAGTCGGTATCATCATTATAGTTGCATTGCTGCCTGCGGACACTGCTCGGAACAACGAGAAGGCGACGCCAACTTGTTCATAGTATTGTCATTCAAGGAGTTGGGCTTCCCGGGGGCCTCCTGGGGGAGCGCCGTGGCCACTTGGAGCCGCCTTGGGGCGGCCGCGGGGCATCTCGGAGGCAAATTGGAAGGTATTTTGAACGACGTTGGGTGCTCATGAGTCATATTTGAGGTCATCGTGGGCTTTCTGGGGCCGTCGCGGAGCCATTCTGGGCCATCTTAGGCGCTCTAGCCCATCGCGGGGGAAGAGCTTCAGACCTATGGTTTTAGGAAGAGGGCGACGCATGGGGGGGCAAAGCGATTCCCTGAGTCCATTCACGCCGATCGCTTCCAGTGAAAGTTCATGTGCGCGCCAGTATTCACGCACGCGTTCTCGCGTGTGCGTGTTCAGTTGCGCGCGTTTTCTCGCCCGCGCATGCGTTTCCACACTGCCCTCCAATTATAGGCCATGTGTGTCTCGCCGTTTCGACCTACCGACGCATAATCTTACTGATGTTTGTAAGAGATCACATGCCCCGGAATTTCCTACACCTGTTCAACAACCAGGGCATGCATTCAATTGCACATGCATCTGCCGTTTCACACCGAGTTATATATGCCCGGACTTGCGTGTGCATATTGTGCCGTCTCGGCGCTCTCTTGTCGTTCGCCCTCCACGTTGCTTTCCTTTTCTGTGTCCGCCAAGTCCGTGACCGTGTCTGTTCCTGTCAAGGATGTAGTTCCTATGGTTATCCCCTTCGTGGAAGATCGTCCCTGTGTCGCCGACGTGCTACCCCGTCGCTGTGCTACAGCAGTGCTGCAGCTGCGCAGCCGTCCTCAGTCGTGCTGCTGCGGCTATGTCGCGGCGTCCCGCGGCGATGCCGCCCAAAAGCCCGCTTTGCTTCGGCTGCCCCGCGGCTGCCCCGCGGCTGTCCCGCGCGCCCTTTTCAGCGCAGGGCGGGGTCGCCTCGACGAACGCAAGCCGCGGCCTCCCCAACCGCGTTCCTGTTGCGCCCGTTGCGTGCCCTTCGGCTCCGCCTGGCTCTCGCGGGGCCCCGAAATAGGCGACGCGCCGCCCGAAATGGGGGGCGCGCCACCAGTTCGAGGCCGCCTTGGGGGAGATCGGTGCTGACGCTCTATCGCGGGACCCTGTCGCGAGGATCCAGGAGGTGAAGGATCTGCTGCATGGTGCTGCCGCTCGCGCGCTCGATCTCGCCTCTCATCGTGCTTCCGCCGCGGTGCCGCGAGAAGTATCGCGGTCATTCGCCGTCTTGCGTGGGGTGCAGAACCAGGCCTGGCCCAGAGTTAAGAGGGCGGTGAGAGCATATCCCCGCCCCGCCACGTTCGCAGACTTCAGTCACCACATGTTGACGGACCAAACGGGTTTCAGCATTTCAACCAGCTCTCCGGCGCGCTGCTTAACGCCCAGGTTGCAGAGCTCGACGCCCTCGACATGCGCCCGCAGAGCAAGGCTGAACGCAAACAGAGGCTACTCGAGTACCAGCGTGTTTGGGGGGGCGGTGCCAGGCGGGCCCCTCCTGGAGCCATCTTAGACTTGGACGGTGTCGCGGCTGCCAATCCCCGAGAGGCTGGGCGTTTCTTTGCTGACCGCTGGGGCCGTGTGCACCGCGGAGGTCAATCAGATCCTAGCTCGCGTCGTCTGTTTCGGTAATTCATTCAGTTTGTACCTGCACACGCTGCATGGGCCATATGCTAGGAGCAGCTTAATCCGCTTATTGGTGGGCTTCACGACTGCGCCAGGACCAGACGGCCTCCCATAGTCAGCACGGAAAATGCAGGTCTAGTAGCCGGCTCCGCGTTATACGACCTGTACCGCCGCCTGAACGAGTTCGGCAATCTTGGCCCAGGCTTCAACCACTCTCTGAGGTTTTCTTCGCAAGAGGCACGCAGGCGCATAATGGCTGCTTCGTTGAACGAGCGCCTGATCCAACCCGCCCTCGATGCCTGTCCAACTTTGACACCGATCATTGCGCTGGCTGCCAACCGTAGGCTCGGGCAAGCTTGTCAACAGGTCTGCCATTTTGTTCAAGGTTTTACCGCGGGACGTAGCACGGCTGTGAACATCCTCAACCTCGAAACCGAGATCCTTGGCTGGCGGTGCCAAGAGGGGGCTCCCGACTCAGGCTTTGCCTTCTTCGACGTCCGTGCCGCCTTCCCGGGCTTGCTCCATGATTATACCTGGTGGATACTACGGCAAATGAGGCCCCGCGCCATTTTCAGCACCTACTTGAGCAGCTATATCGTTTCATAGTTGCAGTCCTATTCTGTGGTCGCACGGGTCAAAGATTCCGGGCGCTCCGCGGCATTGAGCAGGGGCGCCTGATGTCGGGCTCTATCTTCGTCCTTGCCCTTGACCCCTTCTTGCGCATGACGTGCCACCTCCTCCTGCCGAACCTCGATCAACTGGGCGCCTTTGCGGGCGACGTTGGTCTTCCTGCCCAGAACTTATATCAAGCCCTTCGTATTGCTCTCGCATGTCTTGCCGTCTCTCACCGTACTGCTGGGCTTGAGCTCGCCACCTCGAGGACCGTTCTGGTCCTCGCTGGTGCTCCTGCCCGTGCTGTCCTCATTTTGCGTCTCGCTCAATATGGCCTGCAATCTCATCGCTTTCAGGTCTCGACTTGCGGCCGCTATCTAGGCATCTATCTCGGGCCGGGTAGCGACGAGCGGAGTTGGGATCGGCTTTGCGCTAAACTATACACGCGTTCCTGGGATATCAAGCACTTCGGCCTCGGCCTCTCCAAGAGCGTCGTGCAGTATGACGTTCGGGCTTTCTCTGTGCCGTCGGTCGCTGGTCAATGCAGTTTCCCGACCTTCCAGGCTAAACGCGCCGAGTGCACTTGTTTGCAGATCTTCCAGAACAGCCCCAGGAACTCTAGTACTAGAGAATCCATGAGGGCCCTTCTTCCCAGGTCGGTTTCGGCGTCGAGGCCAACTTCGGTGGAAGCAATGTCCAGAGCAGCCATGCACAGGCTTGCTCTCGCCACTCCTGCATTTCAAGCCGCCAGAACATTCCTTGAATACTCAGCACCGTCCCGCGGATCCCTCTGGTACTTCGTGACCGTCGTTGGTTCGACAACAGCATGACCCAGAAACTGATCCGCAGCTATGATATGCTGAGCGCCCCCCCCCGCCCCTGCTTTTGCCGCCCCCCCCCATCCGTCTTCAGTTTCAGACCGCCAGATGTGCGCTTGATCGGTTAATCTTGTCCACGA